TCCCCACTTCCATCCCTTTATTCTTTATGGGTGGAAGTTAGAAAAATTAGTTTTTTTATCGAATGGTGTGTGGTATTCTACTCCATTTAAATACACATCGCCTTCATCCAATCATTCTTGTTGAACTTGAAACAGCCCGTTAGATTTTTCGCCTTTTTCTCTGTGTCTTCTAATTTCGATCTTCTAATTTTCATCACTTTCATTGTGTGTGTGTAGTGTGCGCACGTCCACCTTCAAACGAGGTTGTGTGTGTGTGTGAGTGTGTCTGTAGACATGAAGTTATTCATTCTTTCTGTCTATATAATAAACCATTATTATCATAATAATGAATTGGTGGAAATTCTGTTTTTTAAAGCTCAAACCATAACAATTTTCAGAGGATTTTCTTCAATATTATCAAGAGATTCAGCGGATATTGGCCTATATGTACATCTGCCTTTCTCTTCCCCTGTTTTTTCTCTCTAATCTGTGATAAGGAGGAGAGATAGATGATAATGAGTTCTGGAACCAACCATACCAACCATCTGCCTACCTACCTACCTGCCTACCTACCAATTTCTTTCTTTCCTTCTTCTTTCTTTTTTCATTCGTTGCCATTTTGTGTTAGTCGTCATCAAAATGGTTGGTGTTCATCCCTATTTATCCACGTGTGTGTCTTCTCTTCCACTGAATTTCCTCCTCCTACTTACTTACTTACTTATTTACCATTTTTCAAACTAACCAGCCAAAAAATATAAAGAAAAATATTCCTCCTACTAAAATAAAAAGTCCAATGACGATGTTGGCGACCAAAGAAGACAACAACAGAGACAACGACAGCGAGAGCGCGCTTCCATATGCACAGGCATACAGACACCTGAATACATAGACGCACAGAGAAGAAGTATGTCTTTTGAGATAGTGAATTTTATTTGAAAATAAAGCTAACTTCATCATCTAATCAAAAAAATATGGTTGAAAAATATATTGGTGGTGGTTGGTTCATAGACAGATTTCATGTACATGCATCCCCTACATGGTACGCGTGAGTGTCAATGCGTGTGTTTGTGTTATAAACCAGCAATTTAATGAGCAAATCCAATATGTTTGTCCCCCTTGTGTGTGTGTGTGTGTGTGTGTGTGTGGTAGAATATGTTCTCACTGGTGAGTAGATGTGTGTGAGTGTGTGTGAGTGTATGTGTACCAAAACGGAATATGGTAGGAAAGGCTGAGAGATGGTTTGGTTTGGTGTGATGTGGTGTGGTGTGGTGGAAGAAAATTTGAAAAGAAGTTGAAACCACCTGCCTGAGTTCTACTCACTTCTTCTTCTGTTCCCTTAACTTTTTTTTCCCCCACACTGTGATAAACAAACGGGAAGATTGAAAAATAAATGGGGGATGAAATGGAGAAATGAAGTCAGCTTTTCTGTACACCATTCTAGTGAGATAATAAAGAAATAAATAATTTTGAAGAAGTGTTTATTATCAGTCATTTATTACATCACCGATTACATCATTTATCAAGTAGACATTTTGGTGGAAGGAGGATAACTTACCTAATAAAGCATTAGTAAGTTATATCACTGTATGACTTTTCTTTTTCTACTTTGTATTATTTATTACTTATAAGACTGGAGTCTTAGTAGTATCTAAAGGCCTTTATAAGTCTTTATTCTTAGAATATTGATTCAGTAATTAATTCAGAGAGAGATAACAGAATGCAATACTGAAGTATCCACGACTAGAATTCCTCAAGATGGACTGTAGTACCTAACTAGTTAATGCTAAATAGCTACATTCTCCGAAATCATATGAGTGGTTCTCGGAGTTTTCAAACGATTTGTTGACTCAACATTTTGACTTCATATTCATATAAACGTCATTTAATGTAATCAATTGATATAAGACTTTTTATTTCGTTAGTGCTTGTTTTACTGTGGAATCAAGGACTCGAATTCCCTCCTATTTGGGATTCGATGGGGGATTTCATCATGAGCTGACATCAGTTAGAGAACCATTGGAAAACAAGCTGGGAGTACTGGACAGCTGTTTCGTCACAGTTTAGGACTCTTCATCAGTACGCGCCCACCAGCAGGGTTCGAACACAGGACCATCTGGTTACAAGGCGAGCTCGTAGACTATTAAGCCAGTGGGACCCGATCCAATGGCCAGCTCGTGAATTCTAACTTCTGCCAATTCACGACACAACGCGACCACTTCACAATGTTCCCTTCGATGAGTTACTGCCTCACCATCAACCTGCTGCATCCTACTGATCATGGCTTCTCACTAGAACCCCAGGTCACTACCTGAATAAGGCCAGTCACTAGCGAGCGTCAGATTAATTTTCAAGTATTGGTTTTGTAGGGATCTTGTCAGCTTAATTGGGATTCGACAACTTAATCCAGCTGCATCTGAATGAGCTTTAGTGCTCTCGTAGAGAATTAAGCCAGCGATAAATCCCGTAGAACTCATTCATTCAATTAATAAACCTATGGTATAAAGAAGAGTTTAAACGGTATAATTGAAAATATGTATTACATTCGTCTACAATGTACACGACTTTTCGACTTTATGATTTATATTATTATTTATTATTATTACTATTTCATTGCTTTACGTTCCTAGTGGAACATAGGACTTCACTCTTGACTTTCAGAATTTCAATAACAGCAGGTTTTTATTTTTACGGGATTTGGTTGAAAGCCTCATGTTCAACCTTCCTTCTGCACAGGCCTAACTACCAGCTTAGGGAGGTTTACGAGTGAACCGGTTTGGAATTGAACTCCTGTCTGCGTGCCTGGTTGGCTATCGTTCTACTGCCGAACCAGTGACGCTCTTTATTTATATTAGGGATATGTTTGTATCAAGCATTTAGGTTAGTGATGAAGGCAACTCGCTTCACTATATTTCTCGTATTAATATTTAGTGTTATTGTGTTCTATGAGACGGATGGTTTCATTGAACAGCTTTCCATGTCCTTCCAGACAACCTGTTTGGCGCTAAATTTACATTGAAGATGTTTATTAGGTGGATGATGAAAGTTTGACAGTTCAAATACCATTCAGCACATAGAACACAACAACACCGAAAGGATTCACATGAAGTAAGAATCTTCTTCACCGGCTCATTATCAAGGCTGTGGTTATATACAGGTTGCTGTCTTTAAGAAATGAAAGAGCACTGACTCTCTTTTTTGAAGAACCACAGCTGTTCTGTATAAAGTATATTAACTAATAATTAGAATTGCTATTCTTAATTTACTAAATGTTCAAGTTATTCGAATCACTTTCTTTTAGTGGCCATTTTTAGGAGTGTAATGTACACTTTACCTAGTGATTATTTCAATCCGGCAGACTTCTATGATTTTCTATAGTTCTCAGGTATCGATCTATCGGTTAGGAACTAGGAAATAGTTTAATTTTTTTGATCATATTATCAATGTAATTCAAACGTTTGCAATCTCATTAATAATAATAATAATAATACTAACAGAATTGAGGCATTTCAGTGGAGCAGTAATATCCATTGAGAGTAGTGAACTAATTGATGTTCTGAATCAGATGAATTTAAATTTCCACCCAGGGGCTGAATGATAAGGTGCTCAAGTTCTGCCTGTGATAGTATAGTGGGTGCGTACTGTTGAAGATTTGAAGACTAGGACAAATAGCTGTTCACTGACCCTTTCAGTTTTCAGTTGGCTAACCCTAAACATAAGCAACCTAAATGAAGAAGCGAATTAAACGGGTGCAGTGACCTTGGTCAACCGATCAGCTGAGCTCGCAGTAAATGTGCTTGGTTAAAAACCCTTTTAAATGTATCAGAATCAGTGCTAAAAAAAGTTAAGCAGAGTCACTTTATCGTATAGGTCCCAAGCAAAGCCTCCTAGTTGATAGGATCCCACACACTTTGTCATTGTTCAATTATTTTTAACGACTGTTAATCTCGCATATATGGTATATTATCATTTCCCAGGCACTTTGTTATTGTTCAATTATTTTAACGACTGTTAATCTCGCATATGTGGTATATCACCAATTCTCACGCACTTTGTTATTGTTCAATTATCTTAACGACTGTTAATCTCGCATAAGTGGTATATCATCATTTCCCACGCATTTTGATATTGACTATTACGACCAATTATTTCAAATACTTTTAGCTGTCTGTATTGGTTGTAAAAATGTATAAATACCATTTCCTAAATAAGTTTCTTTGTCGTAGTTGTTGTACTACAATATATAAAGTCAGATACCAGCTTTTGTCTTTTGATATTTGCGTGGTTCGCTGAATCGGAAGGTACCAGAAGCAGATAGGCATATTAGTCAGGCGCAGACAGAACAAGGCGACAACGTCCTTTATTTAATCCCCTACAGTTATTTATAACACTAGTTCCTTATTGGAGTTTTCAGGGATATTCCGAACCTATTTTGTGTGTTGTTTCGTGAACCATTCACCATTCTATAGCATCCGTGATTCTCAAACAGGAACAACATATTCTCTCGGACAGATTTTTCGCCAAAAGTAGCTACATACCTCTGTAAAGACAATACTCCTGCACATCTACAATCTTCCTTTAGGCCTATTATCCCTGCAGTACTCAAATACTGCCTCTTGATGGATTTTACAGCGTTTTTCATGTACTGCATCTGTATCTCCATGTTTTTAGTATGGGCTCATCAATGTCATTGAGTCCGCTTAAATCGGTCCCCCCTTCATTTGGGTAGCTTATGCTTAGAGTTACCTCCAGTTGTTCTCTAATCCATGTTCATTACTGATGAAATTTATCATGGAAGCCATTTTAGTTAGCATGTTTTTACTTAAAAGGAAACAGGGAAGTTTGGTAAAACTTTGAAAATCATACTTCGTGAATTATAGTCAATAACTAGTTGGAATTATTTTTAAACTATTCATATTGAGTTGTACAACTGTAACAATTTTTAAAAATCTATTTTTATCTGCATTTTCTCCAGATAGGGAAAAATCTCATTTAGTCTTTGATAGATCGCGGAACAGAAAAAAATGCCAACAACTTGTGGATTTCCCAATTGTCGTTTCCGTTCACGTTATCGTGGAGCTGAAGATAATCGACATTTCTATCGGGTACCTAAAAAACCAGCAATTCTACGTAAGAAATGGCTTGAAGCAATTGGTAGAACTGAAGAAACTATTGTCAGTCAGGTTAGTTTTAAAGTTATAATGTGTTTATGGCTCTCTTTGAATCTCAATTTATTTCATTATTAAAATTATGGTAAAGTATGGCTCTTGTTATTTTTAAGAGTCGATTTGTTTTTTGAATTTGACCATGGATTGATATGAGTTAGAGAACCACTAAACCATTGTTTCGTCAGCCTGGTTTGGGACTCATGGGCAGCATGCACCCACCACAAGGGTTCGAACCCAGGACCTTTCGGTTACAAGGCAAGCTCGTGGACCATTCAGCCACTGGGAGCCGATTCAGTTGTTGTTTATCAATGCTGACTTTACTGATTTAATCAATAAATAGAGGCAGCTATTGTGGTTAATGAGTTCATTGAATACCTCTCTAGATTTTAAGAGTTGGTGATTACTGGACTTGAGTTCCAGAAGGGAAAGATCACCTTTCACGTAAAATATGTAGATATACTGAGCTCACCAGATTCAAACATGCGGAACACTTATTGTAAATTCTGTTGTTAACTAAAAATGACTCCGTTATTCATTGATGAGACAAAATAAATTGTTAATTTCTATAGAACGAGGAAGCTGTAGATAAAACGTGACTGACTTTAATTTTCTGGTCGATGAATTTGACTCGAAATTAACTGCAGTAGGTGAGGTAAAACTGAAAAAAGTACAAAGAAGTACGAATTAAAACAAAACATAACAATTCCAACACTTGGTGTGTACACGGGCAGTAATTTTGCTCGAAATATTACCAATAACAAAAACTTATCATTGTGTGTAAACCATTGAAATATAATTGTAGTTTACAGTTTTAGTGTTTAGTAACCATGACATTGTTGCAGAAAAAGAAAACATAGTTTAATATTGTTAAATGGATTTGTCAGAGTATGAGGAATAAGATTTTTACCGAATAGAATGTGTACATTTTATTTGGTGACTTGTCGTTGACTGTTTTGGTGAATGGCTCACAGTAAAATACTGCGTAACTACCAACATACAGGAAAACAAATAATAATATACAAGCAAGTATTTACACTTGATTCGAGATCAGTTTAGTGATTTGATTCAATTTCAGATTTTCCCGTCGATTGATTGTACTGAAGTGCTCGATTTCAAGTTGACGTGTCGGCTTCTTGTGCAGATGCTTCGACGATGTATGGACAAGTAATTAGAAGTTAACTAGAGGATGGTGACTAGCAGTGGAATCCACGATGCGCATTTCGTCCTATTTGGGACTCGACAGCTGGGTGCACCTGCATTCCGCAATGAGTGATGATGTTCCCACCGAGGCTCAAACCCAGTGCCGGTAGTTTCAAACGCCAAGGCCAACTAGGTGGAAATATCATCACTCATTGAGGAATGCAGGTACATCCAGATGACGAGTACCAAATAGGACGTAATGCGCATCCTGGATTCCACTGCTAGTCACCATCCACCAATTAACTTCTAATCAGTTAAGTTAAGAAGAGGGGGAATCGCAAAGTAAAATTACCTCTTTAGACGTCCTACTAACAAACATGACCAGACAGCAGTGTGAAAACTAATTTGTATAGGAAAAGTACTTCAACTGATCAGTACACACATTTTCATAGCTTTTTTCTCATCTGGTAAAGACCCTCAGCTATATGTTCAGATGATTCAATTGAAGATGAACTTAAAGTTTCATAAGACATTTTAATTAAAAACAGTTACATAGGGAAGTTCATCACTAAATTTATGGTCAAGATAGTAGAAATGAATTCTTCTATATCTGTTAACAAGAAGCCTTTGTAAATATGAATACAATTCAAAGGTGATATACCAAGTGAAATAATAACCAACAAATAAGGAAGGTCGTTGCAAAGAAAGTTTAATTCCGATTAGCTGTCGTTAATATTTTCCACACAGCTGGTTGTGATTCCGAAACTGAAGGATGAGGTAACTAGATTAGCCATTTCTAGTTGTATCTATCAATTCAGCTACTCCTATAGAGCCATTTATATTGGCCGTTGCTAGAGGAACTTAATTTTTCGTACTCTGTAATACCTACTAGTATGGTTAAATAAAGGTGTTGTTAAAACCATCAGCAGTTCTATATTGGACCACCTCGTGCAAACAGGCTACGAAGCTAGTCATATTTAAGAGTCTTCCTCTATCATCTAACGAGTATCGGATAAATTACCAAAGGCCTATAGATACCGAACACACCAAACACCAGAGGCCACAGCATTTCGCCAGCGTCAACCAGAGATTTATGTGCAGAAAAGTAGATCCAGCCAGCCAATATCGCTACTCTGGCCTGCTATCGAACCTATAAATTGTATAAATCCTGTCTTACTTCCCTTAATATATCTGATATTCTAACAAGTTGCTTATTTGTACTGTAAAAAACACCTTGCTTCCCATCTGACCGTACTTGATTGGTAACACTAATATTATTTCTGAATGTACTTCATCTTATATAGACTTCATTCAAATGTCTAATGATCAGTCCTTACTCATGTATATGAATGAAGCAAGAAAGTTGTGTGAGTAATGCCTTGATATGATTATGAGCAGTAATAATTTGTGCACGAAACTTGGTCATCAATAAATAAGATTACTGTAAAACATATTGTGTGATTTATCAAAATAAAATCTTGTCTATAATGGAGTTATATTCTACCACAGTGCTCAAGTTTAATACTTATATCAGTTTACGAGTATTGGTTTTTGTAGGGATTTTGTTTGATTGGTTGGAAGATTTCATCATGAACTGACATCAGTTAGAGAACCATTGGAAAACGAGGGAGTACTAGAACAGTTATTTCGTTCTAGTTTGGGACTCTTCAGCGGCACCCATCGACCGGGGTTCGAACCCATTACCTTCTGGTTACAAGGCGAGCTCGTAGACCAGTTAAGTGTTATATTAATGCTTGCTACACTTTTCTGAATGATGCTTTTCAAAATCCAATCGATCGACACTGGTGGTTCAGTATAATTTAGGACATCATGAATGGTTTTAATAACAATAAGTCTTTAATAATTATGGTCATATAAGTGTAGAACATGACGACGAATTTATGGAAAAGAATATTCTCTATCCATTAACCAGTCTTCTTTGAATTTAGAATAAATATTAGGAGTTAACTGATGGGTGGTGACTAGCAGTGGAATCCAGGATAACGCACGTTTCGTCCTATTTGGGACTCGGTAACTGAATGTACCTGCATTCCCCAGTGAGTCAGTGATGATGTTCCCACCGAGGCTCGAACCCAGTGCCCATAGTTTCAAACGCCAAAGCGTTATCCACTAGACCACTTGGGCCACGAGAGCCACTTCTTGTGCAACAGGTCATATTAATTATTGAATTGAATTTTAGATTTTCCCATCGATTGATTGGACCGAAGTGCTTGGTTTCAGGTTGACATGTCGGCTTCTTGTGCAGATGCTTCGACGATGTCTGGGCATGTGATTAGAATTTAATTGGTGGATAGTGACTAGCAGTGGAATCCAGGATACTCATTTCATCGTATTTGGGACTCGTCAGCTGGATGTGCATGCATTCAATTAAGTAATTAATATGACCCGTTGCACAAGAGGTGGCTCTCGTGGCCTAAGTTATCTGGTGGATAACGTCTTGGCGTTTCAAACTATGAGCACTGTGTTCGAGCCTCGGAGGGAACATCATCACTCACTAGGAAGTGCAGGTACATCCAGCTGACAAGTCCAAAATAGGACAAAATGCGCATCAAAGATTCCACTGCTAGTCACCATCCTCTAGTTAACTTCTAATTACTTGTCCAGACATCCTCGAAGCATCTGCACAAGTAGCCAACATGTCAAGCTGAGACCGAGCACTCCGGTCCAATCAATCGATGGGAAAATCTAAAATTCAGTTCAATTATTATGCAATATGTAATATAACCAGGGTATGTTGACATTAATCACAATTTCTTATTATACAGACAGTCACTTGATAGCGGTAGATTCATCAAAACGAAGTAAAGTTGAATTCATCTGCTTGTTGATAAATGTGGACCTAACGTAGGACAATCATGCCAGTAATTGACTGAGGCCATTTGAGTCTCAAACTTTTGGGAATATTTTCGAAGAAACTGGTGGGTGCCTGTCTTTCTGTCCTTCCAATGTACTAGCTCTGACATGCACATATGGATTTGTAATCGTAGTTGGAGGTGACTTCTGATAGACATCTGCACAATTTCAATCAGTAAAGAATATAAGTAGTGATGTTCATAGGAATAAATCTGGCGGGAGGAGGGATGAGTTGTAGTTGACGAAAGTGATCAAGGGAACATTTTGTTTACTGCAATAATAGTCCTATGGAATAAGCTTAATAGCTGATACTGTGTGGATTCATTTATGTGCTTCTACTTTGTGTTTTTCTTAGTTACGTGTATGCAGTGGTCATTTTTATGGTGGAGAAAAACACGAAGGTGATGTTCCAGTCGCTGATCCTGCAGTCGATGAACCGATACGTGTTGAACTACCTCCAAAAATACCTCGAATTCAATCCACGTTGAATAAACGAAATTGTTATGGTATTCGTGGTGGTGGTGGTGTCGGTGGTAGCGTGAGTGGTCGAGGCAGAGGTGGATCACATCATACTCAAGGAATCAGAAATAAAATGTGTTTTCTAAAATCAGGAATGTTAAATTACATGACAAAACATAACAGCTGCTTCGGTGTAATGGGATCAGTTGTTAAACAGAAGCATACACTACCAACACATTCGACACCGCTAACTTCTACTCTACGTAATGATTGTAAGCTGAGAAATGACGAGTCAATTCATATGAATAATATTAAAAGCTGTAGTAATAATTATCCGCTACCCTGGTTAAACAATTTATATCCTCCTCATATATATGATTACTTAAAATCTCTTTCATTGAATACTTCTGTGTCATCATCTATCACTGAAATGAACACAAATCAGTGTAGTAATACACCAAAGAAACATTTCTATGATACAGAAAATCAATACATACAAACCTCAGTGAATGAAGATCAATCAATGTTGAAAAAGTATTCACATGAGTCAATAAATAATGAACTTCAACAAGTAAATTATCTTCTAGACAAGGGTCTACCACAAATCAATAATCATTCAAGGTGTTCAACGCCTCTGCCTACAACAACAGTTTGTTTAACAAATTTGATTCAGAATGAAAACGATGTTGTGCACAATTCATATAGTTCACCTTACAGTAATACTACTACTACTAATAATAATCATAATAATAACAACAACCACAACAACAAGAACAATGTCAATCAGCATCCCCCTCCTCCTCATCAACTGCAGTCCTCAGCATTCTCTCCTGTGTCAAGTAATAATAATAATAATAATAATCATCTTGCTGGTAACAGTAGTCAAATGAAATCTCCCACAGTTCTACTCAAAGAACACCAATGGTTGAATACATCTTTAGAGAATTTACAAAAATTAAATTCATCAATTTCCTTGCCATTTACATCCAATTTGTCAACAGATTATTTTCTCTCTTTAGCTTCAGCAATGAATGGTGTTTTAACACAAAAATTCAATGAAAATTATTTAAATCCGTGTAAATTTCAACAAACTGACAATCAGAAGTATGCTGAACATCAAGTCAATTTGAAAGATACGCCACAAATGACAGTGAATACAAATAGTTTATTTAAACAAAATCATGATAATACTGGATTGGAACACTTACCTGCATTTCCGTATAATGTTTTAAATCCCAGTAGTTCGATCAATACAATGTCCATAAATGAAATGAATGAAATAAAAGATTTATCAGTGAAATCAAAGTATCAAACAGAAATTTCAAATTTTTCAAGATTGCATAACAAAAGTGAAGTATATTCATCACGTAATTATGAGCAAGATAATAATAATAATATTGGCATTAGAAAAGGTATAATTAAAAGTAATGTCAATCATTCTAAAAGCAACGTTTTCAGCAAGTGTGATCCTGATGAGAAATCATCATATACGGAGTGTTTGGAATTAAAAGGTTTGTTTCTGTGCTGTGATAGGTTTATTTGGTATAATACGTAATGGTGAAGTTTTAATGACTAGCATAATTTATTGTTTATATGTATATATATGTCAGAAGTGTATTCATACAACTTTCTAACTTGCCTTACATAGTTTTTTAATCTTTCCCCTTCTTAAAATGCATTTTCCCATATATCCGGGATAGGTATTACGCTATTTCTATTGAACGTATGGGGCGTTGACTCGATCAACAAAGATTCTGTGGTTAACTTCTTTTTCCCTCCACATGCTTATATTGATTTTTAATGCTTTTAACCAACCCCAACCTGTAGAGTGATAACATGTAAGCCCATGCTTAAAAGTGGTAGATTTAAAGTTAAAAAGCCGTGCTGATACATTTCTTTTTATTCCTTTACGTTCCCAGTGGAATATAGGGCTTCAAGCTACAGGCTTGAAGTTTCGGTAGCAGTAATTTTGTTTTTACGGGATGGGGTTGGTAGCCTCATGTCCAACCTTCCCTCTTTACCAGTGTTATTACTAGCTTAGCGACGTAAAGGAGTTCGCCGACCGGGATCGAACCCCGAACCACGTGCATGGCTACCGCTGTGCCACCGGCGCATGTGTGGATACATAGATGATGATATTATTAATCTTATTCCTCAGGATTCCGAATGCAACATATCACCTCACCAGCATATCCCCATTTCATTCTGTTCTCTGCAGTTCCTTTTAAATGGCCTCATGAACGACCACCAACTTTCATTCCCTCCTCACGTGATCTCCTTCATGTCAACCAGCTCGTCATATAGCATAACATTCGGGTTCCACTCAACGGCTTGTCTGTTGTAGGATGTCACCCAGCGTTTTCATTAGTGTGTGGCCGATCTATCTCTGTTTTTCTGTGCAATGGGTGTTAGATTCTTGGTTGGTTCGCTAATTGACAGTGTTGGTGAAAGTATGCAACTTGTTAGAAAGGTTTTTCATGACGTAACAAGTCTCTGGACTATAGGGAAGTAGTGACTGACTTGATATTAGTATTGAAAGGCTGAATCTTGTTCGTAATGTTGAGTGTGGCAGATTTCCACACTAATTTCAAAGTAATGAAGGCCTGTCTTGTTTTCCAATCCTTTACAGCTTTGACATTTTCATCCATGACGACTGCCTGTAGTTGAAAGGATACTCCCCACATAAGTAGAAAAGGTGATTTCTTTTAGACCTCTTCTATTGATTGTTGTTAGTAAGGGATTATGAGAACTAAATCGCTGTCTTAAAGTAATCTAGTTATTAGCACCATATTAATGAGCACTGTATCGAATGAACTTATTTGATATGGGATTTAATTCTATTACAATACCTACACTGCAGTCTTATTTTATTATTATTATTCCCTTGGGTTCCTAGTGGAACACAGGGCTTCAACAACACATCTCCACTTTGTTCTATTCTCCGTCGTCCTCTTCGTCTGCGTCCGCGGTTGCCTATAATTTCTCATCTCCTCCTCTTTTCACGATCTCCTCTACACAGCCTTTTCAGACACATGCCCCACTCGTTGTTTCCTATCGGGGTTCCACTGGAGACATTGCCTGGTGCACGATGTCATTTGACGGCCTCCTCAAAGTATGCCCGATCCATTTCCATTTCCTCTTACATATTTGTTAAGCAATCGACTCCTGGTTGGTTTGTCGCCAGAGTTTCTTGTTGCTAATTCTTTCTTGCAGACTGGTCATCTTATCTTCAGTATGGAGTCAGCCAGAGAAGGGGGCAGCTATTTATAAAAGTCTGTAACTTGTTGGAAATACTTTTCATGGCGTGCAGTACATGTTTCTGACTCGTATAGAAGAACAGTCTTATTTTAATTATGATTTATTTGTTTGAATATTTTTTTTTGGTAGTTAAAGGTAAGAATCCTCCTCAGTTATTTGTCCATTTCTGTATAGTTTCAAATGTTGTACATTCTATGATTATTAGTAGGAATACTTACTATTAGAACTGTTGGGTATTGAGTGACCTTCTTCTGTCAGTTTATTTCAAAAGTATATTGATGTGATAAGTATCTTAGGAGTTGTTAGACAATCTCTTCACGGAAACGCATAACTGGTTATTATGTTAGTGACTAAAATAGCTGTAATTCTCTTATGAGTTAATCCATTTAAAAAAAATTATTTCGTGTATGTGTTACATAGAATTCGAAAACATCAAATTCTTCATTGTAAACTATAGGTTATGCAATAGATCATATTAGCATTTTGGAAGGGAGTGTGTAGTCACAGAAATTTCAGACTGAAAAATATAACTATGAAGCCATTTATGAATGCTTAAATAAATGTAATTTATCCAACTTTCCTAAGACTATACCTTTTGTACAGTTTTGTCACACAGTTTTCAAAAAGATGTGTTCCTTATGAAGTTATAAAGGGAGAAAAATCTCCTTACAAGGAACAGCGGTTAGGACGCTCGCCAACCATGCACATGGTCTGGGGTTCACTCCCTGGCCGACGCACTCCTTTACCTAGCTAGACCAGTAATAAAGCTGGTAAAAAGGAAAAGTTGGGCTCGAGGCCAGCAGCCCCCCCCCCATCCAGTAAAAATAAAACACTGCTCCTAAAACTTCAAGCCTCTAGCTTGAAGCCCTGTGTTCCACTGGGAATGTGAAGGAATGAAGACAGAAGAAGAAGAATTTACTCATCAAGGAGACTAGAACTTTGTTAAAGCATATGTCATTCTAATATGTTTAGATATCTCCTGTTTACGTTAACTTCTATAAACTGTTTAGTGTGTAGTGTATGTAACCTGTTACTTAAATAGAGAATTAATTTCAAGAAAGATTTCGTCACGAACCGACATCTGTTATAGAATCAATAAAAATCAGAAGGCAGTCGGCAGCACGAATCGAGTGTTTGAACCTTGCACTTCCAAGTTTTGAGGCGAGTATATTAAGATCCAGTCACCGGACTGAAATTCTGTGAGCTTATGGATCCCAGCTCTTCTCAGTTAAATCTCTATAAGCCAAAATTTAGAAATTATTCTATAGCTGATCAGAGACTGACTACAGGCTAGAGTTCTTGGAACACGGATGAGAAGTCGTGACCTAAGGGGTCCACCAAGTTGGGTGTGACGAAAAATGCTTGCTGATGTCATTGGATGGTAGTGTTGCTATATCGTGAATTAACAGAAGGTGAAATTCATGGGTTACTGGATTCCATCCTGGAGACACAATGATAAATGGACTTTCTCTGTAGCCCTAAGGTCTTAAGTTCGATTCACGTGTTGAGTCACTGGAGTGGGGTGTTGCTGGCAAGTCCCGAACTAGGAAGTAACAACTACCCACTGCCTCTTGGATCCAGTGGTTTTGTAACTGATAAGGGCTAGTAACAAAAACCAACTTCGAATCAATCAGATCACTATAATCCAGTACTTGAAAAGTTACTTATCGATTTATTTCAGCAAAGTTTATATGTCTACTGGCTATATGGAAATTAAAACTTAAATAGAGAGGAATTTTTGAAAGTCAGTGGAGGTCATATTTTTTATCCTTTTCTAATTTAACATATATATGGTCTTCTGTTATATAAAAAATTCTTCAAAAATAAGATCCACAAATTAGTACTTGATTGTGATGAATTAATCAGCGCTGTTTTGAAACATCGGTGCGCAGATAACGCTGATTAAATTTACCCTGCATTCTCATTTAGGAGTAGTCCCCAATGTCGCAAAACAGATGGGTATCGCCAAATTTTGTGACAGATTATTTCTATAAATTTTTATTATTCAATATATTATCACTTTCATTCATTATCCAGGAGTAAAATCAAACATAAAGATCTAAGATAAGAGGTACTTTATCTGAATTGTCTAGTGTATAAACCAGCTAATCTTAAAGTTTCTTGAAATTCCTAAAGCAAAACAATTACTGTGATCTAAAACTATTTAAAATCACCTTTACATATATATCCTGGATAAATTTGTATTGCACTGTCAAACAGTCTCTCTAAAGGAACACACTTTCAAGACACTCATTCTCTGATAGGTGTTTTGGCCCCCTGCTTGAAACTTGGGCTACCAGAAACCTCCATTAATATATTGCATATCATTTCTCTTGTTCAGTTTGTTTAAATGTAGTAAAATATAACCTCTATTAGTATTGTCTAGTCTAGCTAGCATTTAAACCATTTACAAAATACTGATTAGCATGTTTCTACTAAATATTTGAAAAAGTATTACCCTCGATGGCAGTTAATCCTAATATATGAAGTGACCTTTCCTGAGTGGTGTCCTTGGTTCACAAAGTGTACTTCTGAACTTTATGTGATTGGCATTCAACAAAATGCCGTGTATTTCTTGAAGGAGGCAAAGAATGTATATCATAATAGATTGATTATCGCTTCAGGTCGGATAGAGCTGTGTCACGCGGTCCATTGTCAAATGATCTTTTATTTGAGGATCCTGGACGACCAGAAAATATCATGCAATACACTCCACGGAAAATTCTTTATTATTATTGTTTATTTTATTCCTTTAAGTTCCCAGTGGAACATAAAGCTTCAAGTTAGAGGCTTGAAGTTTTGGTAGCAGTAGTGCTTATTTTTACAGGATGGGGTTTCCAGACTCGTGTCCAACCTTCCCTCCTTAACAGTCTTATCACCAGCTCAGCGAGGTAAAGGAGTGCGTTGGCGGCCGGGGATCGAACCCCGAACCACGTTCGTGGTCGGAGAGCATTCTGCTGCTTAGCTGCCAATGTACACTGGAAAATTCTATACATTATATAAAAATTGTGCAGAATAAAGTTATCATTATTAGTATTTTAGATGAGTAGATTTCTGATCTCATGGAATATATATCAAGGATTTTGACATAAGTATATCCGAGTAAAATTGACAGAAATGATCACTCCTATGGTTTTAAAGAATATTTTCATTCACCTACAAAAACAGTTTGCACTTGTCTGCGAATAGCTATGGTTGTCTGAAAGGATTCAGCTTCCGGTTTTTGGCTATATCTGAGTTAATGGGTGATAAA